TCTCTCTCTCTCTCTCTCTCTCTCTCTCATACACACACACACACACACACACAAACTTTCACGTCACTTAACGAGCAACTTCGACCACAACGGTGTCCTCAAGACTGTCTGTCTCTTGAAGGGCACCGGAATATGGCGACCGGATGTATGCAACATAACCCAGACTGACATGAATTCGTGCAAACAGGGTTGTACGAGAGAGGGTGTACTGTAAAACGTGTGTATCTTGGCCGTGGCTGACGCCGGGGCTCGCTAAATTAAACAAGGGCCTAAAGGGTCGCCCCTAATTTACGTAGCTCGCTAATTCAGCCCTCTTCCGTCCGCCTCAACGTCCCCCCCCCCCCGTCGCTCTTCGTTCTCTTTCTCGCTCCTTGTTTAAGCGAGTATCGTCGTCCGTTCTCTCGTGTTGCAGGCTCTCCGTTACGGATTTCCGTGGTAAAATCCCTCATCTCTCCCTCCCGCAGCGGCAGTATCTCTTTTCCCGGATTGGATAATGGGATTATTTACCCTTCGGTGCGCAGATTCACGTCATTCACGAGCTAAATCTGCATCGAGAATTACGTACGGAGGTAATGAGATTGCAACGGATATATGGAAGAGACGATGCAGATTTGTGTTATGAAGCGTGCGTCGCAGTTTCACGCAAATCTCTGTCACTTTTTTTTTTAAACGTATTAGACACTGTCACGATTGCCGTTAAACGAGGATAATCAATATTAATAAATGGTCAGGTAAGTTTTTGAATACCCTTTAAATTACAATTTCTCACATGGAGAAGAAACTTTTGTTAAAGAATGTAAAAAATATGATCAGATACAAATACGAAAATAATTTCGTTGGGGTCCATCCCCCATAAATTATTATATTAATATATATATATATATATATATATATATATATATACACCTCCAAGATCTTGTTTGAAAAGATAATTTTCCAATATACTACAAATAATATATCATTGGATAATATATAAAGATGAAGTAAATTATTTTAGAAACTGTACTTTTTACACATGTTTGTTACACACATAGTATAATTTATATATTGTTATGTTAATTAATACGCTTGATGTTCCTCATTCATATAGATTGCACACTTGAATGTTTCACGCGAGATTGTACGTAAGTGACTCTTATACATATGGAAAGTAATCTGTAAGTAATCCGAGAGAGGAAGAACAAACTTGACGAATAGGTGATTTATATAGCATACGCAAATATGCTTATACATAAATACAGGGTGTGAATGCAGTATTGCCAGTACGAATTAGGTGACGTTTGACCGAGTCGTATAATGACGCCGAGCATAATTGCACGGCGCGTCTCAAGTGCACCGAGTCGTTTTTACCAAATTGCATCGTCTCCTCCTAATTGAGATTCACGATACTCGTTTTTACGTACAGGTCGTCTTAAGTATCGCGCATTGTTTCTTCTTAGCTATAAACTCTTTGATTAAATCCATCGAGAAGCATTATAATAATGCTATGTTTTCATTGAAAAAAAAAAACAGCCTAAGTTCTTAATACAAGAATTTATAGACGAGAATACCGGAGCGATACTTTGAGGCATCCTGTATATAGCTGTATGTTGTTAATATTACTATTAACAAGGTTAATCGTTGACGTTAATCGTAGTTGGCGATAATAAAGATTTTTTAAAACCTATTCTGTGAAGCCAATATCAAACAAGACATGTTAAAGATTGTAAAGCAATTTATTATCCCCCCATATCAGATTGCGTTAATATAGTTAATTAATTACACGATTAGTAGGAATATTTTAAAGAATAGTTTATAAGAGAAACATGCGTTCTTGTCATCAACATGATTGAAACATAATTAATTTTAATTATTATTAGAGTACTTTGAACTTTAACACAACTAATGATGACGATATTTAGTTTACAGAGAGCACAGAAATAACTTATGATTCCACAAAGAGAGACACGGAATATAATTTATGATTAAGAATTATTAATTTATGAGTTTTTTAACTTAAATAGCTTTATTTCATACAATTAATAATAATGCTATCGTGATATTAAAAAAAAACTAAAAGTACTCTAAGAGAAATTAAATATTAATGATTTTTTTGAAATAAAAAAATGATATGTCGATTGTTACTATTAACACGGCAGACAATTAACAAGGTTAATAGTAATAACAAGCCACAAGATTGCAAATAAAAAAGCAATAAATAAGGGGTTCATAAGCACTTAAGCTAATTTAAAGCATGGCAACGCGTTCAATTCTTCAAGCGTTGCTCCGTACCCGACTTTCGAGCGCTCGTGACAACTCTTCGTACACATGAGGATTTTGTCCCTTTTAATTATATCTTTTACGCCTCTTTTCCTCTACGTAAAAGCGTAAAAGAGTGCTATCGAAAAGGATGGATCTTCAATGGCGATGGAAGAGAGTGTATGCAAATTGTCGTTTAAACGCATATGCCAGGGATGAGTAAAATACTGGGTGATGTTCCAAGAAACAAAAATATATATATATATACATCTCTTAAATATTTCTCACAATCTTCTACACGAAAAGCATTCTACAAAAATAATTATTTAATTGTTGACTAATCATACGTTATACAGAGATTATATTGAAGAGAAGACCATTCAATTGAACATGGTTCTCAGTTGTATATGAAGGTCCACAGTTCCTGTAATCATCAAATCCAAATTTCTTAAGTTGCAAAAAAGGATTTGCCTAAAATCTTGAAAACATATAATATTTTCACATCTTAAACACATAATCTTCTAACATCCAATCTTGTTTATCATTCCATTTGTTGAAGTCGCTCCTTTATTTTTCCAAATAAGAGAAATAAAGAAAGTCTTACTTACATCCTCGCAAGACATCCTCGAAATTTTTTCGATAATTGACAGAAAAGTGCGCCAAATCGATAAATATATCAATGAAGCGAGCTACCTCTATTTGAAGATGGAAATAGTACTTTGCCCATCGCTGGTTAAGACTGATCCTCGGCGATCCTAATCGAAGACGAAAGGAAAAGAAAAACGTCCGATTGTTATAAAGTGCTCTCGAATATTTTATAAGTCGTGATTCTCTTTCTGTAATGCACTCTCCTATGAGTCCAAATCCTTTAAATACCACGCTGTTCTACGAGATCTTAAAATCAGTGTAGTATCGAGTGTAGTTTCTCTCTCTCTCTCTCTC